TCACCTCTGTGAATACAAGTTACTGTGGAAGGATAGAAGCTCAGTGAGGCAGAGGAACATGATCCCAGCAAGATCTACCTACAGGAGAAGAACCCCATCCCATCTTTGCAGTACCTTCCTTTCATCATATCACATCTCAGAAGCAGATTCTGTTTAGATGCATGGAACTTAAGGAGACTGTCCACTGGAGCATTCCCTGACTACTTGCACACTCTTCAGAATGTCACACTCTGAAATGAAACTCGTCTCAGCATCAAGCCTTCTTATTTGTGAACTGGGCTGTCGTAGCAATTTAGTTTCCTGAAATATTACTGCCTTAACAACTATTACATTTTTCAGTGCACTGAGGGAAAAATTACATTAGATCCCACATCGTGTGAAATTAATAATGTTTGAAATTTTAGTAATTGATATAGTTTCAATATATACTTATATATGTATACTTAAAACTGAGCTGTAAACAGAGAGAACAGTCTGGGAAGAGTTTAAAAGTTAAACAATACAGCAACACAAACAATGCTGTCTAAAAGGACATGTACTCAGCTCAGTTACCTAACATGCAGGAATCTCTAGGAATAATGCACACCCACCACCACGCCTACCAGATATAAATAGTTGCTCATTCCTGCAATACCAGAATTGGTGAAGTAGAGGCAGGAAGGCCCAAAGTTCCAGGAAGTCTTGAGTTATACAATAAGTTTGTGGTCAGCCTAGGCTACAAGAGCCCCTGTCACACAAATACCCAAAGAAAGAAATCCACTGCTTACTGTGTACCTTACCTACCAATGGGTAATGGACTGTTGAACTAGATTCAGCATGCTTTCAACCAACACTCAGTTGGGTCTTTGGGATTCTGCTCTAAGGGAGGAATGACAGTTTCTTGACACCTAAGAGTATTTCAGGAGATGATGGCTCACCTGGAGTGGTATGGTACTTCTAAGATATAGTTCTAGTTCTAATTCAGGCACATAGTCTTTGGTCAGTCTACATCAGAGCTTTCTTTAATCACAAGAGTGGAGAGGCCTGACATGGCACGTGATCTATGGACAAGAGTGTAGCCAACAGAGAAAATGCTCTAGTTAAATTGCCTTCAGCAATGTGAACTTTATCTTGTACCCATGTTTAATTTTCTAAATTACAGTGCCAACGGAACAAACAGATTGTGTATCCGTATGCTGGTGATTATGTCTACTTCTGATATATAACTCACTTTTAAAATTATACTTACCTCTTACTATGAATAAAGATAATTACCTTTACCTGAAGGGAGAGAAGTGGGGGGTAGGGGTGGGTATTTTCTCAGGTTCTTGGAGAGCATCAGAAGGGCAGAGACTGCATCTTCTGAAGCAGGACCGTTTCAAGGGTTCTTTACTATTAGCTGTATAAGTTGTTCACTAAACACCTGTTTATCATTTATCTTTGGTCTAATGAACTCATTAATAACCCACATTCACATGGAGGTAGAAAAAAATAAGTTATTCCAATGGTTTGAAATTAAAATCCTATTGAAGAATGTAGTTATTGAATTAGTAGGAAAACTCACTCCTTATGACTGGACAGATCATTTCAAAAAAAAAAAGCTGAGAACTGATCTCTGTTAGATTATAGCACACTGACTTAGCCCTGACAGGGAGGTGGGGGAAGTAAACACAGCAAAGTCACAGCACAGAACTACACAGATGTGTTTGTCATTATGGATTTAATCACAAGAAAGCAACTTCTCTGTCCAGGGGTCATCTGCTGAATGTTATTCCTTTTTAGTTGTCCCTCAACTCACTTGTAAGGACCACAAATTAAAGGACAGCCATGTATGTGAACACCAGACACATGAGTGGTTAAGGGAAAAACCCTAGGTGCCACTTGGTTAATTTCTGGTTGTTTTAACTTTGTTTTCTTTCACAACACATGGAAAGCAAATCTCTCTCATGAGGCAGTCTGAATTTCTTCATCTCACTGACAAAATGACCCTCCTCAGTGGTCACTCAACGAATAGAGTATAACTTCATTCTATTCATGCAAGACATGCAACTAACATTAGCCAAAAAACTTCAAATATTTTGATCCCGACATTGAGGCTTTTTTCCAAACTAGTTGACATCCACCCTCCATTACAGGCCCTTACTATTTATATTATGGTTGGTAAGAAATCCAGATATTGAGTATAGCTAAGTGTCTATGTAGGGAATTTACCATCCCAGAGAGTGCAAAAAGGAAAAGAATATCATCCCTAGATAGTAAAGTAATAAAACATAGCTGTGAGTGTAGCTCATGTTAAAACACACATGGTTCTTGATCCTTTCTGTAGCACACACACACACACACACACACACACACACACACACACACACACGCCCAACAGACAAGTAAAATAGGAAAAATGATTCTATTGTTCCTTCATTTCACTTAAAATTGTTCATTTGACTGATCAAATAAAAATAATAAATCAAATTCTTATGATCTGATTCATTAGGCCTTGAGATAGCCTTGTGGGTAAAGATGCTTGCTGTCAAAGCTAAAGGCCTAAGTTAAATCTTCTAGACTTACACAATTCAAAATTAGGAGGGAACAATTCAAATCCTAATTTGGCCTCTGACCATATGTTTACAATGGCAAGGGTTCACCTGCCCACACAGACACTGACAAATAAATAATTAAAAGTGTAGAAAGAGTTCACTTAATTCTTCAAGACAATATCTAAACATTTGCTGTGCTCGCAAGTTTTGTATATCAGTGAAAGAATTCCAAAGGTGGAGTGTTCCTAGGACTCAGGAGACCATCTAAAAAGAAGAGGATCTTCTTGTGTTTATGTGAACATTGAGGTCACTTTTGAGAAGTGTTTGTTATATAAGAGGCACTATTGTGAAGCAATTTGTAAATATTATGCCCCCTCTACACAATAATCCTGAAGCACACACCAAGGAAATAACAGAATTATGAAGAGTTTTGAAGAATTATTGGAGCTGGATTTGAAAAGTCATATGTGCTTCAATGTGTAGCTCTTGATGTTTGTGGAAACTGATTCAAATAAGATGTTCAAGTGAACACTGAGAAGTGAAAACAATAAAGAAGTTAGTAGTGCAATTCTTGGGATGGAGTAACAGATTGGAGATGGGAATTCAAAGCAGAAAATATGGAGGTCAACAGAGCTTGTATTTTAACGTAAATGAATACTCCCTCGGGGTAATACCAAAAAGTACTAATAAAGAATAACTTTTTGTGGTATATATCATCATGTCTCCATCTCCAAACTAAAGGATTATAACAGCTATTGAAAATCTATTAAGAACCAATCAGGAGTGTCGCAGGCTTTTAATCCCAGCCTTTGAGGCTGGGGTATGCGGATCTCTATGAGTCCAAGACCTGCCTGGTGTATAAGAGCCGGTTCCCAGGCAGCCTCTGAAAAACCTGTTCCAAGAAACAAAAAAAAAATTCTACTAAGAAAACTATGAAAATGAGTCATCAAGAATGAAACCAGATCCAAATTATAAAGGATCTCAGTCTGTTCTTCACTACCTTGCCCATATGCCATGTTGACATTTTCTGCTTAGTGTATTTGAACAGTGTCACTACTGGCCTACAACACACATGCACTGGAGTTTCAGGCTTCTTCTGCATGTAAGAAAGCTTAGTTGGGGCCAAAACCCAACACCAGTCAGCTCTGTCCTAAAACCACATGGCCCAAAGTGATAAACTGAATTTGGGCAAGTATAGGTGGTACCTAGTTTTGCAACTTGGTGTGGTTCAGTGAGCACAGCAAACACAGGTAGCTCCCAGAACTTCCTTGAGGACAATTAATACTTATCAGTTGATTCTTCTGTTCAATCACCCTTATGGTAACAACTGGGGAAATGAACTGACACATCAGCTCTAACTTCCAATTTAGGGAAAAACAAACCAAATTTCTGTTGCTTAAAAACTTTAGATGGTCTGTTTTATTTGTTTGTTTGTTTTTGTTTTCTTTTCCAACATACTTTGCCAAGTTCCTACATAGTTTTCTTGGAGGAAATTCAAAGCAGTCGTTATATGGAAGCACATGGAGCAATGAAATGAGACCTGACACTGAAAAATAAAAAGACATTTCAGAGCAGTGACTCTCAGGTCCTACATTTGAGATACACAAAAGCATCAGCTTATTTCATGAGGCCTACAAATAGGATGCTAAATAGGGCAGTGCTGAGCAGAATGTCTCCATCTCCAGGAATTAGTACACACACACACACAAACACACACACACACACACACACACACACACACACACACACACACCCACCTACCTGCTATTAATTCCGAGTCAAGAAAGGATATTTCTTAGGAGTCAAGTGGTATAACTGGGCTGATCACAGTGAGTTCGAAGTGTGAATGCGTCATCGTCTCTTACGTCAGAGGCCGTTTCCTGACACTGATTATGATGGAGGACGACATCTCTGCGTAGGAGCGTTTCCCCCTAGCTACTACAGTGTGGCTTTTGGACTGGAGAGGATAGGACAGAGCGTGATAGTAACTGTAACTTGGGGGCTGAGCTTTCACTCTGGGGCTGTGCCAGCCCTCGGAGTGTAGGGCTGTAGCCCCAAAGTTGGTGCTTCAGCTTTTAGTGTTCCATAGGGGAGTGGTTTTTTTTGTGTGTTTTTTTTGTTTTTTTTTTTTTTTTTTTTTTTTTTTTTTTTTTTTTTTTTTTGACTTGATAGGACAGAGTGCGATAGTAGCTGGGGATATAGGGGGCTGAGCTTTCACTCCGGGGCTGTGCCCCAGGCCTCGGAGTGTAGGCCTGCAGCCCCACACTGGGTGCTTTAGGTTTTCTTGCTCCAGCTCTCCAGGACTCTGGTGCTGGAGGTCAGAGTGCCAGCGTTGACGTGTCAACTGAGATAAGGAGGTGGAGAGGGCAGTGGTGCCAGCCGGCCCCAGAAGCCTTCCCTTTCCCAGTGTCCCACTGACTGTGCTCTGCTCTGCTGCTGTCCATCTGTCCAGCTGCAAGGCCCCCCATGGTGGGCACAGGGATGGCGGTGCCTCGTACTGCCACCGTGGTGTGCCCATGGAGGATTTTTGAGCTGCTGCCAGTTCTAATTATCTTCATGTTCTGTGAATTTAAAGTAAGTAGTGCCATGCTCATGGTTCATTTGCCCATGAATAAAAATGTTCTATGGAGGTTCTAAATGAAATAAGGATTTTGGTCATTTTCATCATGTTAGCTGTTTGGGGAGAAAATACACAAAATTAATCCACAGTTGAAGTCTATTGCCTATAGAAGTACACATGCAAAATAAGGGAAGGGAGTGATTGTTTTTCCTTGGGTTGCTGGCAAAGTCTTTAGACTGAGCAAATAAGTTTCAGTAGATGAGGTGTGAAAACAGCATACACAGGAGCTCACAGCATAAGTGAGCCAAGGGCCTGATGTGACATGATGCTTACTGTAGACCAGTGGGTCTCAAGGATTGCTGTGGGGTGTGAGATCCAGCACAGGCTCATCAGTGGTGAGACCCATAGAAAAATGTATAGATATTCCTGATAGTATGAGAATCAAATGTCAGGGGAAAAAACACAGGAAGGAGAATTGATAGGGATAAGGATAGAGAAGTTGGTCCTAAATGGGGCAAGAAGAAATAAGAGCTAAAATGAGTGTGACTTTCTTGATTAGCTGCAGAGAGGGGTGGGATGTGTGAAGAATCTGGAATAGTCCCAAGTTCCTGGCTCTGTCAGCTAAGTTACTGAGATGTGCCTTATGGGAAGAGAAGCATATTGTAGATGAGAGATGATTTCAGATCACACACATCTCCCTCAGAATCCACAATTAGGGCCTAGGGAGATGACTCAGTGCGGAAAGGAAAGTGCTTGCCATGATCTGGAGTAGGAGCCCTTAAGGCAATGTAAACGCTGGGTGGAGGTATGAATAGAGGAATCCCAGGTTCACTGGTCATCAGTTTATCAGAGAATGTGTGAGCTCTAGATTCAGTGAGAGACTCTGCCTTAGAAAAATTGAGGTAGAGAAGGAAGACATTACAACAGCAGCCTCTGGCTTTTCACATAAAATACACAGGCACCTAGCAGTTACCAACACTTATTTTTGATAAGGTTGGGGGTGAGGACCACGGAGGGATTTTGCAGACTTGGCTGGATTTTCTGTGGTTCAGTGGGCTGTGTGGATGTGTGTTGCATTTTGTAAGGGAACAATTCTCTCCCCTTCAGGATGGTGTTAGCTATGAGTCTTCTATTGGTGCTGTTTGTCAGATTGAGAAAAGTAGTCCTAGTTTGCAGTCTCCTGATTAGACGGTCGATTTTCTTACATGTTTTATTACTATCTGTTGAGATCTTCTTTTTCTTCAATTCTTTTACTGTGGATTATGACATTGATTTTTTTTAACTGAGCATTACATTCCTTTCTGTGTATATATGGTGTGTGTGTGTGTGTGTGTGTGTGTGTGTGTGTGTGTGTAAATCCAAAGCCCCAAGAGTCGGTTTTTTCCTTCTACCACATTGGTGATGGGGGTCAAACACAGGTCCTGAGGATTGGTGGTAAAGTTTTTACCTGCTGAGCTATCTTCCTGGCCCAATAATATTTAAAATTTTTATTTAGATTTATTTATTATATATAGTATGTTCTGTCTCCTTATATCCCTGCAGGCCAGAAGAGGGCACCTCATTGCAGATGGTTGTGAGCTACCATGTGGATGCTAGGAACTGAACTCAGAACCTCTTGACAACTAGCTAATGTTTTTAATCATTGTGAGATCTTTCCAGCCCCTGCCCCCTCATATTTTTTTACAAGGTCTTTTATGACTATAAATTTTCCTGTTACACACTGAATTAGTTGTTTTGTGTAAATTTTATGTTGCATTTTATTATTTTTTTTTAAAAACCTTTTATGTTCATGGATGTTTTGCTCTTGCATGTATGTCCATGCGTCACATGTTTGCTGTGCTTAAAGATGTCTTAACGGGTGACATATTTCCCTGGAAATGGAGTCATAGATAGTGGTGAGCCACCAAGTGGATCCTGGGAAACAAACATGGGTCATTTATCTACAAGAATGACAAATGCTCTTAACTGCTGAGCTCTCTCTCCAGCCCTTCCTGTTTTTTGATAACTAATTTTAACCCGTTGTAATCAGAGAAGATGCTTCTCGACATGGGAATTTTTTAATTGAATTTTTACTATTTTAAACTATGTGTATGTGTGTGTATGTGCTTGTAGCTTCAGCTGCCCAAGGAAGCAGCAAGAGGGCATCAGATCTCACAGAGGTGGAGTCATGGGCAGGCACTTAGGGACTTTTTGACATGGATTCTGGGAACTGAAGTCTGCTCCTCTGCAAGAGCAGCAAATGTTTTCAGCTGCTGAGCCATTTCTCTGGGCTTGGCCATGTGGTTTGATTATTTAAAGAAACAAAACAAAAAACAAAGAAAACATTGAGGTGTGTTTTAGCTTAATGCCTGGATTTTTTCTGAAGAATCTTCCATGTACATTTGAGAGTGAATGTATTTTCTGCTATTATTGCATAGTATTTTGCTAGTATGATAGTCTAACTTATTTGTAGTGTTTTTTACCGTGTTGTCTTTTCATGCTGACTCACTGAAAGTGAGATCTAAAAATAACTAACTACTGTTGATGAACGGTTTGTTTTATCCTTACTTCAACAGATTTACTTCATTTTATTGTTCTCTTGCATAAAATCCTACATCTTAAAGACTGAGCTAGCCTTTTCCATCACATCTTTGTTTCTAGTAACAGTTTTAGTCTTAGTCTTTTTTATCTGCTATCAGAGGAGTCTACTTGTTTATGATCAGTTAGTATTGGGGTCTGGTAATAAAGACTAGAATAACCCACTGAGGGAAGATGGATTCAGGAAGAGGTAAAATATGCAATTAACTGCAGGCCTTACTCTGTGAGGTGTGGAAGAATATTTTAGAGGGTATGTGGAGGGCTTGGATATACATTCATAGTCTCTGGAGTGAGATAATGGAAATATTTGCCGTGCCTGAATATCTATTCTTGTGATCCTAGAGGCAAATCGTTGGTATCATTGCCTTGCAACATGATATCACACTTTTTTGTATGTGGCTCAGGTGAGAAAGAGAGAGAGGACCAGGATAAAATATTTTCAACCCTTTTCTGAGCCCTTGTAAGGTCAGTCCTGTACCTTAAGGATCCAAAACACAAGGTTAAAGGAACTCTCCATGAAACCCAAAGCAGAGGCTGTGCACCTACACTTTGGATCCTTTCTGGAGTCACAGATGTAAAAAGGAAAATAACGATACAGGGAATAAAAAAAGAGGATACTATTGCATGTATTTTTTTTTTGGTAGAAGTTAATAAGCTGTAGATAGCAGCTTGTAAAAGGTCCTTGTCATGTACTAGCATAAAACAGGTTTTATAGATAGTAATTATCTAAGGATTTGTTGTTCATTTTGTCAGACCCCAAGGAGACGACAGCTGTGGAGTTTCTAGATGGTATATGTTGATGCCTGGAAAGAGTCAAGCCCATCATTTCTAGGGTTGTTTTTGAAAGAACCATTTTCTTTTTTGGGCTCAAACTGCATTAATTTAACTCAAGAGACAGGAAGGAAGGGTTTATATCCCAACTCTGAAGCTCTGTCAGTAGTTTCTTATCACTCTCCCTTCCTCAGAGGACAAGCTGCAGATCAGTGTTTTTCCTCTGCAGGAAATGTTTTTTCAAACCCAGTGCATATGGATAAATCATGAACTTGAACTCAGGGAAAAGAACCCAACCCAGATCATTGATACTTTTTTTTTTTTTTTTTTTTTTTTTACTGGATTTTAAAAATCTTTGGTAGGGACGGTGTCCCTCACCCATCTCCTAAATAAATACATTGAGATTTATTCTTACTTACTAATGGCTGGCCTTATCTCAGCTGTTTCTAGCCAGCTTTTCTAAATTAAATTATCCCATTTCTCTTTATGTGTTGCCTCTGAGCTCTTTTCCCTTTATTTATTCTATGTGCCTTGCTTTCCTTCTTACTCTGTGACTGGTGCCCTTGGTGTCCTCCTCCTCTTGTCCCTGGATCTTCTCTAGGTCTCTCCTCCTATTTATTCTCTCTGCATGCCAGCCAGCCCTGCCTATTTTTCCTGCCTAGCTATTGGTCTGTTCAGCTATTCATTAGGCCAATCAGGTGTTTTAGACTGGCAAAGTAATGCAGCTTTACAGAGTTAAACAAATGCAACATAAAAGAATGAAACACATATAAAATATTCCATAATGTTCTTTTCTTGATACTATATCCTTATCCTTTAACTCTCCTGGAGTTATGCTCTGTGGAATCTCCCCATAACTTCTGTTTGAAAACTACTGTTTCACCATACTTAGCCCCTCAATAAGAACAATTGTAATTTACTAGAAACATGTTTGGAGGCATTCTGCTTTGTATTTTATGGTAGCCCATTCTATATGAATAGAGTTGGCCACAGCCACCTGTGCCTGTCTTTGTACCAGTACTGTTGAAGAAGCATGCTTATAAGTTTATTTTCTTTGTCTTGAAGGTTGTGGCAGCAGTGCCTGAAGATATGACAACAAGCTTTGATCCTAGTGAGCCATCATTAGAATCGCTGATATGTGTGGTTGCCATTGGACTGCTTACCATTTTCTTATTTCTTTGGAGAGGATACCGATCAGTAAGTAACTACTTATAGTATGTGAATGGTCATTCTAAGTTTTTTGTTTTTGTTTTTTAAGTTTATTTCCTTTTATGTGCATGACTGTTTTGCTTGTATGCATGTGTGTGTGGTACGTGTTCCTGGTCTACAGAAGTGATTAGTGGGCCATTGTTGGATGCCTGGAGCTGGAATTACTGATGACTGTGAGCTATAATGTCGATGATGGCATTTGAATTTTGGTCCTCTACAAGACTAACAAATGTTCTGAGCCATTTCTCTCTAACCTTCATTTTGTGTTTAGATTGAACATCTAATTGGAGAAACTTGTTATTTCAGGGAAATGAGTTAGGTCTTAGTGTTCTGAGTTATGCTAACAGGTGGTTTTTAAAAACTGAACAGAGATTAACAGAAATATTTTTATGTAAGTGTATTTTAAAGGATTTTATTGTAGGGATACTACACACTAGTACTAAAGCCCCAACTTTCTTTCTTTCCCTTTTCTTCTTTAAATTTGGGGTGTCTGTGATTGTTTTTAACAATATTAAAAAGTTTGCAGGTGTATCTACTTCCCAACTAAGAGTAAAAATCGCCACTTTCATGGCTCTCCTGGATCCTATATTGCTTTTTCCTATGGATCCTATATTGCTTTTTCCTATGCTAACTGTTTTTAAGGAGGGAGTCATAACATAGCCTTTCTTTCTGAGACTTCTTTTTAGATGTTGGCCTTTGTGCTTCTGACTGACTTCATTTCTAATATCTTCATGGTTTTTTCTTCCTTACCTTCTGCTTACATATATCCTACTGTTTTTTTTTTTTTTTTTTTTTTCATTTTTTTTTCTTCCAGTTTTCTGTCTCTGTTTTCTAGGTGGCATGAGTGTTCTTGTTTGCGTCTCTTGATCACTTTACCCTATCCCCACTGTTCTCAAGGGTGGATTTATCCCTTCCTTATCGAAAGCTGAAGTATGAAGAAGAAAAATACTAATGAGTTTTTTTAGTCAGTCAAGGTCTAGAGTCCAATGATATTTCATATATTTTTATTTTGTTTATTAACCGTAGGAGATTTAATAATGGTGGCTCCTTAAAATACTTTGTTTTAGAGCCAATATATGCATGGGAAACATGGACTTAAGTCTTTAGAATAAGACTGTTTCAGAGCCTTTAATATGATAACACACATGATACCACACAATGGGAGACCTTACTATATAGCATTGTTTTCATTTGAAATAGAAGGCTTTCCGGTAATTTATTTACCATAAGGCCATAAGAAAGTTGGCATCTTAAAGCTGGAAGTAGAAGTCAGATAGATTTGCTTGAAGATATATTTGTTTTAATGTAATTTTGTTAAATTTTTGTTTCAGATTCAAAGCCGACTTTATTTGAGTAAGTAGTCTTTTTTGATTTTAGATCTTGTGATTGTATATAATTTAAAGCGTTTTCACACTTTAGTCATAATAATCTTTTCTTTGCTTGCTCAGTAAGAGAGAATAGACTGGCTGTGGAACTTGCAATGGAAATCAAAAAGAAATGTGATCTGATTGACAAAGTGTGCCTTGCTCAAGAGGAGGTAAGATGTGTTTGAAAATACAATCCATCACAGTGTGGAGCTTAATTGTTCTCCATGGGTTATTGCCTGCCATCAGAGCTTTGTTTCAGACCAGAGCTCTGTTGCTGCTCAACTTCATCACTTAGCCATTCTCTTTGCATCCACCCTGGTGATGTGTAGTGTTTACCTTCCCTGACTAATTTGTCAGATCACCTTGATTTGCTTATTGCTCATTTAGATATTGTAAAATTGCCTTTTAAGTCTTTTACACGTTAAAAGATGACTTTATTTTTATTGTGTGTGTCTATTTGTGTCTATGTGTGTAGGCGTGTACCAAGAAGGCATTTGTGTGGTGATCATAGGATCATAGGACATGGAGGAGTCACTTTCCTCTTTTTATTACGTGGGTCCCTAGGATTGAACTCAGGTTATCAGTCTTGGCAGCAAGCTCCTTAACTACTTACTGAGCCATCACACTTGCCCATTTCCATCCATTTAAATGCACTCATAATCTTTCTCAGTTTATGCCATATAGATTAGGGCCTTTGCTTTTACTATTTTATGTCGTATATAAGAAAGAGTTTTGTCAGATATATGGATTGTAAATCTCTTCTACTCTGTGGCTTACATTTCTGTTTTGTTCAGTGTCTTAGAAGGTAGAGGATTTGAATTACAATTTAATGTAGTGTAATGTTTCATGAGATTTTTTTTTTTGCTTATCAAGGATGTAAAGGTACTTTTACTTGTTATCATGTAGAGACTTTATTTACTGTTTTCATTTGGGCATGCTAGGGCTACTGTGACAAAATACCTTTAGCAGCAGAAGTGAATTTCCTTACAGTTCTTGAAATGAGTCCATGAAGATATAGCCAGTCTTTGCTTCCTCTGTGACATGTCCCTTGACTTTAGATATTGCTGTCTGCTTGTTATGTCTCTCTCTGTCCTAGTGCTCTCCACATAGGATACCAGCCATATTACATTGCAGTCATCTTAAATCCCTCATTTTAACCTAGCTGTATTTAAAGGCTTTGTCTCTAAATAACACAAATTCTGAGGTGCTGAGACAGGGTTTCTCTGTGTATCACTGGCTGTCCTGAAACTCACTCTGTAGACCAGGGTGGTCTGAAACTCACAGATTTTATCTTCCTTACTTGCCTTACTTATCACATGATATAAATGTCTGATAGCCAGTTACCACATATTGTTCTACTGACAGACTGGAGAAGCCATTAATCTGTTCAGGGGATAGTAGATGACTCACTTCTTTAGATCCACTTTAGTCACACTTGCTGTTAGGGTTTTCAGCCCCAGCAGATGTGGGGCAACTTTGGTAGTCACAAAGGAAACGTTCTGCCATATGTTGCCTAGGCTGGTGGTTGTGGCTTGTTTGTAGACCTGGCTTTCCTCAGCACAGTGTTTAGATTGCAAACTAAGCTCATAAAATCCAAGGGTACTTTACATGGTGGATATAAATTCTGTTTCCTTCTTTGGTGTCTATTTAGATACAAGTTGAGATAAAATTTGTATTTTTTTCCTCATGTGTTCCCTTGTTTTATTCAGTATGAAGGCTTAGAGTCATCCTTAAAGGAGGCCAACTTTGACAAGGCATCAACAGAAGTACAGAGTTTGAATGTAAAAAAAAAGTATGATGTAAAAGCTAGGGAAAAGGTTCTTATTAGAAATATCTTGTCTCCCCAAAAATAATTATGTCAGAGAAATATGAAATTGTGTATCTGGATCTTACAATGTACAGAAAAAGTTAGTGGAAACAGAATAGTTGTAGGTGGCATAAAATATTTTAAAACATAACAGTTTTATCTCTTGTCATTAACTTGTTTTGAGGGATACAAAATCAGTTTATCAGAAGCTATAGATTTATAGAAAGAAAGAAATTCTGCATTCTGTACTCTGGTGAATGGATTGGAAAGACAATTCCTACTTTTGACATAGTTTGCTCCAGGAAAGAGACATAGAACTCTCACAAATTTAAGCATAGTAGCAGACAAGTAAGTTGTGACCATATTGTTTTTTCTTACCATGGTAGTAGATATTTACTAAAATTAGAATTGAGGTTTACATTGTAAAGAGTGGCATGGTGATAAATATTTAATCCCTTTCTGTGCATCAACCCTTGTCTACACACTCCATCACAGCCAGTTTTCAGTCCATAACCATGATTTCACAGAATGGAGAGTTTAGGAGAGATGGACAGTTAACTCTCCTGATTCAGAGGACACAATGACTTGTCTTAACAGACAGAGTATGATGTGATGAAGTGCCTCAATACTCTTTGAAAGTGGAACGGTTATTAAAACTGAGTTGTGAGCCTGTAGAGTAAATAGAAGTAGCCTGCTCCTACCAATATAAAACAGAAAAAAAACTTTGTCCCTTAGATTATGTGTTCAGTCCAGTATGTCAGTTCTGTCATCCTCTGTCCTGAGTAGCAAGTCTGTGTCTTATGATTTAGAATGTCCTTGTAGAATCTGCAGGGAGTTTAGACTCCAAATAAACTCATTAATTTTTCTTTATTTTTACAAAAAAGTTTTTTTGGAATGCAACTGTTTTAATTCCTTCAGTGGGTATTCATTGTTTTCCGTGGTTAACTGGTGTGCACCTAAAATACTTACACTTTTTTTATAGAAGTTGCTGGCAACTGTTAAACCTGTTGTTATTTTAATATTTGAGAAATGAAAAAATGTATAAAGTGTTTATAAATTTGAGTATACTCATCTGATTTTTACCCTACACTCATCTGATTTTTACCCTAACTAAAAATTCTTATGTTTGGCTTGTTTAAGTTAGCTTTCTATTTTAGGCAACTTATAAAAATCTAGAAAGAGATAAATCTAAACTTGAAGAAGAAATATTACTTATAGAGAAGAAACTAGAAGAAGAGAGATCTAAACATCATGAAGAAGAGGAATTGGTGAGTCTTATATATTCCAAGAGAATTATGAATCTTACCTATAAATTAAATATTGATTAAAATATTATATGTGAGCCAACCATAGTGGCACAAACTTATAATACCAGCACTTGGGAGGAAGAAACAACAGTTCCAAGCTATCCTGCCCTGAAATGTAAAGAAACTCATGTATATAAAAAATGGAATGCAGGCTGGGCATTCTTGACAAATGCCTTTAATCTTAGCACTCTGGAGGCAGAGGCAGGGAGATCTCTGTGAGTTTGAGGCCAGCCTGCTCTACTGAATGAGTTCCAGGAAGGTTCCAAAGTGACACAGAAAAACCCTTTCTTGAAAAATCAAAAGAAAAAAAATGATGTAGAATAATATGAGAACAAAAATTTTCACATCTGATCTGATCTTTTCACCTCTTTTATTTATTTGTTGTTATGTTTTGTTTTTTCAAGACAGGATTTCTCCATGTAATAGTTCTGGCTGTTGTGAAACTCACTATGCAGACCAGGCTGGCCTGGAACTCACAAAGATCCACCTCCCTCTGCCTCCTGTTTTCTGGGATTAAAGGCATGTGCCAACACCTCCCATCAAACTTTTACTTTTTAGATGTTATGATGAGTGGCTTGTGCATATTCCTGTATTCTTATTGTTTATATTCATTGACATAGTATTAGAATATAGTCCTGTATGTATAAGTGAGGCTGGCCTAAAACTCATGACCTTCCTGCCTGTGCCTCTTAAGAGCTGGGGTTACAAGTGTGCACCCCCACACTTGGCTCGCTTGTTATTTTAAATGGAAAATTTCAATATTTACGTTGGAAGTAACCATAAAGAATATAACTTGAATATTCATAGTGAAAAATATATGACATATAATATATATATATATATATATATATATCATTTATTTTACTTTAAATTCTGGATTAAGCAAAATCTTGATGTGTGTGAGATTATTTAACATACGAATTAGTGGGTTCACCTTAAACCTGAAAAGTTCTATGATGTATTGCTTTTGTAAGGACATCATGTGATTACATAATTTTTAAAATCCTTGTGAGCACTTGGAATGCAAGCTGACAAGGCCTCCTTATCTGGCCTCTCACTTTTATTAACAGTAAATTAACAATGTACCTCACTAATGCATGTTGTCTTGGAGCAAAATGGACTTATTAAATACTTACTGACTGATACTGTCTTTTCAGATGAGTGACCTTTCAAAAATGATCCAGTCTCTAGCAGATGAATCACAGTCTGTCAAATCACAGCTAGCTGAAGTAAGTTAAGTTGAAATAAATTAGTCTGTCACTTCTGAAGACCATTTATGTTTCATATTATTATTAGGTATATTTGTCAGAGTTTTTTAGAGGAACAGAACTTATGAGATGTCATCTATCTATCTGTCTATCTAAATAGATATCTATCTATATATTGGGTATTTATTAAAGCGATTTCCAGGCTGTGTTCCACTCAGACCAGCAATGTCAGTCTACCAACAGAGAGTCCAAGAATCCAGCACTTTCTCAGTCCATGAGGCTGGATATCTCACCTGATACTCAGTATACACTGGAATACCAAAGAAGTAGGCTGTAATGCCAGTGAGGGTGAGGACCAGCAAGCTTCCTCTTCCATGTCCTTTAGATAGGCTGCTGCCAGAAGGTATAGCCCGGAATATAGGTGGATCTTCCCACCTCAAAAGATCCAGATTAAATGTGGGTCTTGCCACTTGTAATTATTTAATTTAGAAACAGTACTCACAGCTTCCTTGGGTTTTAGTTAATTCTAGTTATCATTGATAACCAAACAGCCATCACATTAGGTAATAAAATATTGTTAGTATTTGAAATGTAGCCAATCTTAAATATGCATTTGTTTTAATGTGTTACTTTGATTGAAATTCATTTTCCTCTAGATATATTTAACCTAGGAATGTATCTGAGCACTCTTGAAGTTGTGTAACATGTATCGATAATAAATAGATTTGCTTCCTGCTGTATAAAGTTTAGGTCAGGAGACAAAGTGTAAGGGGTGTGGGGTCTTTCTCTAATATCTACTCCTACACTAGTGAGCATGGAAGAGAGAGGTCACCAGTGGACTGTCCTCCTGAGACCTCCAGAAAGCCTTCAATTCTAGTTAGAGTTTCTTTTCTAAAATCACAAAGTGGGCAGGCAAGCAAGCAAATTTTTCTGAAGTGTACATGGCAGTAGCAGGTTGCTAAGGGTGACAACCCATTCTTTCAGCGATTTCTCCAGGTTATTCCCTTCCTGGTAGCAAGTGAAGCCATGTTTGGCAAATAGGCAGTAAAGCAGTGTTTTAAGTAAGCCGCTAAATAAACCAATAATTCTGTAACTAATAATTGTTCTTTTCTATTTCAGTAGTTAACAAAATGGTCTGCATTGTACATGGAAGGTTCAATAATTTGTTCAAAGTCATGTGGCAAATGACTTTGTCTATCAAAGTAGTGTTGATACTGCCTCTGCTGTAAATAGTGGAATGTTTTGGCTTTTGCTTACATTTTATGTTCTTCAGAAAAGACATAATCAGGGGGCTTTCTGCTTAATTGTTATAAACGGTGTATTTCTCTTACTTAGGCCAAAACCACACTAAGAATATTTGAAATAAATAAAGAACGACTTAAAGGAGTAATAACAGATACCTTGAATGAAAATTCTCAACGTCAGGAAAGTGTGCGTCAGGTTTGTAGACTACAGATATTTTTTTTTTAGATATGAATATAGCCTTTGATGTTGTGGGTACTCACAAATGAACCATGTGTGGAGTTGTGTAGTGAATGAGTAAGCTTATGAGAGCAGGAAGTCTCCCCTGCAGACTCCCATAAAGGATTTAAAAGTGTGTTCTTCCATCTGTCTTCTCCCCTGATAGAAGGCAGTCAGAATTTTTACTCTCACAGGAGACATCGGCTAACAGGATTCCTCACAATAAAGACTGCAGTAAGAGTTAACAGATTACCAATTGGGGTGCTAGAGGAGGGAGGAGTTCTTGGGTAATGTAAAGTGAAATCTTACCTTTTATCCTCACCCTCCTCTCTCCTAGACACTAACCCACACATGCTCTCGCTGCTGTTGTCATAAATCTGTTTGTCTTCCCAGGTCCCAGGCCCCTTCCCCTCTGTCTCTTTTCTTCCTTCCTTTCCCTCCCTTGCTGTCTCTCTTTTCCTTCCTTTCTATAGTGTGCATATTGAGATGGGGGTGTTTGTGGGGGTGTAGTGTGAGACTTTGACTGTGCACAGGTATGACATGGTGTTTGTCCTTACCTTTACTTTGTTACAGACATACTGTCCTTTTCCTCTTGTGGAAACGCTTTTACTATCTTCCCAAATTACATTTTCTTCTTACAGTATTATGGATCTCTGAATAGTAGTCTGTCTGACTTGACTATATATCCTGAGTTGCCCGACGTTTTATTTTACTACTTGGCTTCCTGTAATGGATATTTGTACTCTATCTCAATGGAAATGCCAATCACTCAACTACGTTGGCTAATTTGTTCATTTACAATTCTATTATTGTCATTATTGTTATTTTTTTTGAGAGTGTCTTGTATTGAAATTCAGGGTGACCTGGAACTTACTGAGGTGCTCAGTCTCCTAATTGCTGGGTTCAAAGTTATGTGTGTGCCTACTGCCAGATTTTTCCTCTTCTATTTTTTATTTTAATTATATGCATGTGTGTAACTTGATTGTAGATATGTGCACACAAGTGCAGGTACCTTTGGAGGCCACAAGCATCAGATCCCCAACATGGTCTGTAAGGGGAACCAAATTCAGGTCTCGTGAAATAACCATAGATATTCTTGGACTCCTTCATTTTCTTCTGGGGGCCATTTTTCTTGGAATCTTAGATTCTCCTAGTCCAATAAGAATGTGTAATGAGTGGCAGTGGTGTCACATACCTATTTATCCCAGCACTGTGAACAGAAGCAGGTGGATTTCTGTGACTTTGAGCCCAGCCGGGTCTACAGAATGAGATGCTGGATAGCCAAAGGAACCATGTCTCCAAGAAGGAAAGAAAGGAGAAGGAAGGAAGGAAGGAAGGAAGGAAGGAAGGAAGGAAGGAAGGAAAGAGAAAGAGAAAACAAAGAAAAAGAAAAATGTGTTCTATAGATCTACTGGGCATTTTTGTCCTGATACTACAGTTCACTCAGCAGCCAAGGATTCTTGTTTCCTTATCTTAAATGTTCTGTTTCCTGTTTCAAAAGAGAACATTTGTGATTAATTAACTTGTTTATCTTTCAGATAATAAGGTACAGTAGGTAATTTTAAAAGGCAATTGCATAGCTGTAAAGGTCTTACTTTTCCATTTTTAAAAAAGATTTTATTTTAAAATTAATTATTATTTTTTTTAATTTTGTGCATGTTATATTTGTGTGCATTTGTGTTCATGATTAAGGTGCTCTGAAAGGCCAGGGAAGGATGTTGAATCTCCTGTACTTGGAGTTATAAGTGGCTGTGATGAGCCCGATATAGGTGCTGGGAACTGAACTCAGGACCTCTTGGAGAACAGTGCATGGTATTAACCACTGAGAAATTGCTCTAACTCCTTGTTCTCTTTCATGTTTCTGATATTTCGATACTTATTTGCACTTCTTGGTGTTTTGATTCTGCTTTTGTTGTTGTTAGTGTGACAGGGTTTCTCTGTGTAATAGTCTTGGCTGTTCTGGAACTCACTATAATCTCATGCAGGTCTCAAACCAGGAGATCTTTCTGCTGTGCTGCATTTTTTTTTTAAATAAAATTTTGATATTGCTGCATTGTCTTCCCTTTCCATGTTTGGTTTTGAAACTTGAATGATGTGTTGATTATGGGACCTTCTTTGCTTGCTGCCCTTTTTTTTCTTCTCAAACATTATCTTTCTGTTGTCTCTGGCTCTCTGAGATTGTGTGATGATGTGTCACATAGGGTTTCATTAATATGTTGGATTCTTACATTCTGGAAACTCTTGAAACTGTGGGTTACTAGAACTATTTATTGTGACAATTTAAATTTTGTTTTTTTCCTTTTTATTTAAATTTGAAAAAATGTTTTACATGTCAATCCCAGTTCCCTCATGTTCCCATTCACCCCTATAACCCCCACCAAAACCCACCCTATCCCCTTTCTGCTTCTCAGGGAGGGTAAGGCCTTCTGTGACCAAATAGCAATCCAAGAAATATTGGAGAGACTAACTTTAAAGCCCTTCCATATAATGATATTGACGACTACCTGATTCGTTGAGTGTGTGTGTGTGTGTGTGTGTGTGTGTGTGTGTGTGTGTGTGTGTATTCATTTGTTCACGTGGATACATATGTGTAATTGTGTGTAGTGACTAGAGGCCTTAATAGTGTCAGGGATGGTCCAGTTTATTTTTTTAGAAAGAATCTCTCTAAGTAATTCTGTCTATCCTCGAGCTCCCTATGTAGATCAGGATGACTTTGATCTCACAGAATTCCCCCTGCATCTGCCTCCTGAGCACTGAGGTGAAAGGTGTGCATTGCTGTACTGGACAACATGTCATCTCATTGAGCTGGTTGGCCTTAAATCCAATTAGAAAGTGGTTGCTTACTTTAATAACACTTATGCTACTGTGGTACCATAAGCCACATCGTGCTGCTGGGTTGTTATTTCAGCTTGTGTGCTTCACAGGTAGGTGACATTGATGAATATGTTTGGACTGCTGTATGCATAACACCTTACAGCACTTTGAAGCTTGCCAGTAGGGATGAAACATTCAGCTATATGTATGCATAAATGAAAAAAAAACGAGATGAGTGGCAGAAAATGTGATGTGTATATGCATGTTTGAGAGAAGACAGGTACAGGGAGGTAATAGGAGAGATATCAGGAGCATGTGTATACTTCTGTGTGTTGGTATGTGTGTATATGTTCAGGCATTTGTAGGGACTAGAGGAGGACATTAGATCATATAGAATTATAGGCACCTGTGAGCTACTCAGTGCAGGTGCAGGGAATTGAGTGTGGGTCCTCTGCAAGAGCAGTATGTGCTTTTAACTACTCTACTGTCTCTCCAGTTCCCTAATTCTTCCCTTTTGGTTTCCATTCCTCCCTCTACTACTACTGCTTTCAATCATGAGCCTCTCTGGATTGTGTCAAGTCATCTTATTTTAGGATTTTCTAACTGGCTTATGTTTCTTCTATTGTCTGTGGATTCTTTGGTCTCACATGTGTTCCTTCTGTTTGTCCATTTTCTTTTGGGGTTGATGCCTTCTCCTTTCACATCTTTGTTGTATCATCTCAGGTTTTAGAAAACATTGTGGTGAGGACTCCTGTGTTGATTGTCCTTACTATAATAAAAACTGAGTCATCCTCACTTCAAAGTCCTACCATGTATACCAGGCTGGAACTCACAGTGCAGTTCAGGCTCAGATTATCTGCAGAATATATATATATATATCAGATTATATATATATATATATCAGAATATATATATATATCAGAATATATATATATATATATATATATATATATATATATATATATATATATCTGGGCATTGGTGGCACATACCTTTTTTCCAACACCTGGGAGGCAGAGGCAGGTGTATCTCTGCTGTGAGTTCCAGGCCAGCCTGGTCTACAGAGTAGGTTCTAGGACAGGCTCCAAAGCAATACAGAGAAACTCTATTGGGAAAACAAAACAATCAAACAAAAGTAATGAGGTGTACCAGAGTATTTAGGGTACAAAGATAGAAAGAATTGACTAGATTTTTCATACAAGTATGTGTCAAAATTGTGTACTTGATTAAAATTTTCCTTGTAAATCAATTGAAGAATATTTCTTATTTTATAGTCTTCTGTTTGAAAGTTCTTTATAAAAAGGAACCACATCTGAGTCCCTATTTAAGTAGCAACCCTATCTTTTTTTAATATCATTTAATAACACATTTAGTATCTTTTAATGATATTGAAAAAATTCTTCTAAACATTGTGCTATCTTTCACATCGTTGTTATTGTTTTCCTGTCAGTATTTAGAAGAAGCTAAAGTCATGAAAGAACAAATGAATCAACTCAATAAACAGAAAATAGCAATCGAAGTATCCAACGTACAAGCAGAGCAACTCCTAAAGGTTAAGGAAAATCAGATCAAGGTAATGGCTTGTTGGGTTTAGTCACTAGTTGGTCACAATTTTATGCTTAATTGTAAATTCAAATAATTTTAACAGCTTTTATTTGCTATTGTGTCTTTTTGTTACATTTCAAATGCTTCTAGAACATACATAGATTTGTAATATATATGTTAACACTCCATGTCTTTGTTCACCAGTATTTTAGCCTAGTGTTCATGAATAAAGAAATAAAATAATGATTTTTACCTTTTTGTTATTTTATATAACCAATTCCATTTAAATGAAAACAAACATTAGACAATATTTGGGAATTTGGGCATCATTCTTTCCAAACTACTTCCTGCTGGTAAGGGGCTCTGACAAGGTAATTCCAAGAAGATGCAGAAATCCTGGCTGTAGTCTGTAAGGATGCTTTGTCCAGCTGTTTTGAATGTAGGATCACCTGGTACTCTGTTTCAGGCAGTCTGGCTTTATCAAACCACATTAGTCTGGAAGGAATCCACATCTTTTCATTTTCTGTGGAAACAAAAATAGAAATCCTTTTCCCCAGTAACTTGTCCTTGAGCTTAAATTTTGGAGTCAAAGCATTTTTTTAATTTAATTTATTATTTTACATGTCCATCCCAGTTCCCTCTCCCTCTCTGCCCTCTCACATGCACTCTATCCACCCTCCCCTCCTATCCCCTCACCCCAATTCCATATGTAGGGGAATACCATCCAGTTGGGGTCATGTAGATCTGACAGGTCATGTGAAGTAGGGACTAGGGCTTCTCTCCTGTCTCTAGGTTAAGGCAGTTATCCCTCCATGGGGGATGTGTTCGCAAGGTCCTTTTGTGCACCAGGGATACATCCTGGCTCCACTGTCTGAGGTCCCTTAGACTGCTCAGTCCTTCTGGCTGAGAGGCATATTCAGGAGGGCCTGAGTCAGTCCCATGCTGGCTTCCCAGCTATCAGTCTGCTGGCCCATTAGCTCCTTCTTGTTCAGGTAAGCTGTCTCTATGTGTTTCTGCAGCCTGGTCTTGTCCTCTCCATCTGCATCCTGGTTCTACTTCGACTCAGTGTTTATGTATGGGTGTTTGCTCCTGTTTCCATCAGGCACAAGTTTAGTACTCCATGGATAAGTTTGTTGTTGATCTCACTCTTCGGGAAGGGCATTTATGATAGCCTTTCCACAGAAGCTCAGATTGTTAGTTGGCAGCAGTCTTGTAGCTCTCTAGACCTTTCTTTGTGTTCAATTTAACTTCAAACCATTATTGGCTCCATCTTTTATGTTCTCTCTCTCTCTCTCTCTCTCTCTCTCTCTCTCTCTCTCTCTCTCTCTCTCTCTCTCTCCTGTCTTCTATTCCTAACCAGGCTCAATCTTCCTATTTGTACATGTGTTCATTTCTTCACCTTCGTTTTCTCCTACTTCTCTCTCCATTTGCTGCCCCCCCACTTCAACTGAGCTCTGGGGGACTTGTCCCTTCCCAGTTCTGTGAGGGACTTTATATGAATCTCTTAGAATACACCTTCTATCCTAGTTCCTCTGGTGGTGTGAATTATAGGCTGGTGATCCTTTGATCTAGGTCTAAAATCCACATATGGGTGAGTACATACTGTGTTCCTCTTTTTGTGATTGGGTTACCTCATTCAGTATGGTTTTTTCAAGTGCCATCCACTTGCCTGCGAATTTCAAGATACCATTATTTTTTTCTGCAGAGTAGTATTCCATTGTGTAGATGTGCCACTTCTTCATTAACCATTCTTCAATTGAGGGGCATCTAGGCTGCTTCCAGGTTTTTGCTACTACAAATAGTGCTGCCGTGAACATAGTTGAACAGATGTCTTTTTTGCATGGATGTGGATTATTTGGGTATATGCCCAAGAGGGGGATTGCCGGGTCCTGTGGTAAACTAATTCCCATTTTCCTGAGGAACCGCCATACTGATCTCCAAAATGGCTGTATGAGTTTGCGTTCCCACCAGCAGTCGAGGAGTGTTCCCATTTCTCTACATCCTCTCCAACATGAGTCATCATTGGTGTTTCTAATTTATCCATTGTGGCAGGAGTAAGATGGTATGTCAAAGATGTTTTGATTTGCATTTCCCTGATAGCTAAGGATGTGGAGCATTTTCTTAAGTGTCTTTCAGCATTTTTGATTTCCTCTGTTGAGAATTCTTTCTTCATTCTGTAACCCATTTTTAATAGGGTTATTTGGTGTTATGTTGACTAGTTTCTTGAGTTCTAAAATTTGCCCTTTGTCGGATACAGGATTGGTGAAAAATCTTTTCCCATTCTGTGGGCAGCCATTTGGTCTTGTCCACTGTGTCCTTTGCCTTACATAAGCTTCTAAGTTTGAAGAGGTCCCTTATTAATTGTTTTTCTCAGGGTCTGTGCCAATGGAGTTATGTTCAAGGATAGCTCCTACTTTCTCTTCTAAGAGGTTCAGTGTGGCTGGATTGAGGTCTTAGATCAATTTGGGCTTTAGTTTTGTGACAGACATGGGTCTATCTGCAGTCTTCTACACACCCTCATCCAATTGTGCCAGCACCATTTGTTGAAAATGCTGTCTGCACCCCATTGTATAATTTTAGCTGTTTTGTCGAAAATCAGGTGTTCATTAGGTGTGTGGGTTAATATCAGGATTTTCAATTCCATTCCATTGATCTGCCTGTCATTTTTATGCCAATAACAGGCTGTTGTCAGAACTATAGCTCTGTAGTAGAGTTAAAAATCAGGAATGATGATGCCTCCTGAAGTTCTTATATTGTATATGGTTGTTTTGGCTATCCTGTGTCTTTTGTTTTTCCATATAAAGTTGATTATTATCATTTCAAGGTCAGTGAAGAATTGTGGGGGGATATTAATGGGGATTACTTTGAATCTGTAGATTGCTTTTGGTAAGATTGCCATTTTTACTATGTTTATCCCACCTGTTCAAGAGCATGGGAGATCTTTCAATTTTCTGGTGTCTTTCTTAATTTCTTTCTTTAGAGCCACTATGTTCTTGTTATATAGGTCTTTTATTTGTTTGGTAAGCATTACACCAAGATTCTTTATGTTGCTTGTGGCTATTGTAAAGGGTGATGCTTCTCAATTTCTTTCTCTGTCTCTTTGTCGTCTGAAAAAAAGTAGGGCTATTGTTATTTTTTTGAGTTTATCTTGTATACTGCTAATTTTCTGAAGGTGTTTATCAGCTGTAGGAGTTCCCTGGTAGAGTGTATTGGGTTGCTTATATAAACTATCATATCATCTCCAAATTGAGACAGTTTGAGTTCTTCCTTTTCAAATTGGATCCCGTTGGTCTGCTTTTGTTGTCTTATAGCATTAGCTAGAACATCTAGTACGATATTGAAGAGATATGGAGAGAGAGGGCAGCTTTGTCTTGTTCTTGATTTTATAGGAATTGGCTTAAGTTTCTCTCCATTCAGTTTGATGTTGGCAGTTGGTTTGCTGTATATGGTTCTTACTATGTTTAGGTATGTCCCTATTATCCCTGACCTCTCCAAGACCTTTATCATGAAAAGGTGTTGAATTTTGTAGAAAGAGTTTTCAGCATCTAGGGAGATAATCATATGGTTTTTCTTTTTCTGTTTGTTTATATGGTGGATCACCTTGATAGATTTTTGTATGATAAACCATCCTGCATTCCAGGGATGAAGCCTACTTGGTCACGGAGTATGATTTCTCTGATGTATTCTTGAATTCAGTTTGCCAGTATTTTTTTGAGTATTTTTGCATTGATGTTCATCAGGGATATTGGTCTGTAGTTTTCTTTCTTAGTTGTGACTTTGTGAGGCTTGGGTACCAAGGTTATTGTAGCCTCATAAACAGAGTTTGGCAATGAACCTTCTGTTTCTATTTTGTGGAATAGTTTGAGGAGTAGTGGTATTAGTTCTTCCTTTAGTGTTTGGTAGAATTCTGCACTGAATCCATCTGGCTCTGGACTTTTTTGTTTGGAAGGCTTTCGATGACTGCTTCTATTTCTTTGCAGGTTTTAGGTCTATTTAAGTTGTTTTTCTGTTCTTAATTTAATTTTGGTAAGTTATAATTATCCAGAAATTTGTCCATTTCCTTTGAATTTCAATTTTTGTGGAATGCAGATTTTCAAAGTATGACCTGAAAATTATCTGCATTTCCTCTGTTGTTATATTCCCCTTTTCGTTTCTGATTTTGTTAATTTGCATATTCTCTCTCTGCTTTTTCATAAATGTTTGCTTTTTCGTTAATTTGGATAAAGGTTTGTCTATCTTGTTGATTTTCTCAGAAAACCAACTCTTCGTTGCATTGATTTTTTTTGTATTGTTTTCCTGGTTTCTATTTTGTTGATTTCAGCCATCAAGTTGATTATTTCCTGGCATCTACTTCTACGGGTGAGTTCACTTCTCTCTGTTCTAAGGCTTACAGTTGCGCTGTTAATTCTCTTATGTGATTATCCTCTGTTTTCTTCATATGGGCACTTAGTGCAATGAACATCCCTCGTAGCAATGCTTTCTAGGTGTCCCATAAGTTCGGGTATGTTGTGTCCTCATTCTCGTTGAATATCATAAAGTCCTTAATTTTTTTGTTTATTTCCTCTTTGACCTAGGAGTGGTACAATTGCACATTGTTCAGTTTCCTTGAGTTTGCAGGTTTTCTGCTATTTGTGTTGTTGTTGAATTCCAATTTTAAAGCATGGTGGTCTGATAAGATACAGGGGACTATTCCTATTCTCTTGTATCTGTTGAGGTTTGTTATGTCACCTAGTATGTGGTCGATTTTAGAGAAGGTTCTATGTGGAGCAGAGAAGAAAGTATATTCTTTTTTCTTTGGATGGAATGTTCTATAGATGTCTGTTAATCCCAGTTGAGACATAACTTCTGTTAGTTCTTTTGTTTCTGTGTTGAGTTTCTGATTGGTGGTCCTGTCTAGTGTTGAGAGTGGTATATTGAAGTCTCCCACTGTAAGTGTGTGAGGTGTTATATGAAGTTTGAGTTTTAGTAGCGTTTCTTTTTCAAATGTTGGTGCCTTTGTATTATGGGCATAGATGTTCAGAACTGAGACTTTGTGTTAATGGATTTCCCCTACGATGAATACGAAATGACCGTCTTCATCTTGTTTGATTAATTTTGGTTTGAAGCCTAACTTGTTAGATATTAGGATAGCTATGCTTGCTTGCTTCTTGGTTCCATTTGATTGGAATATCTTTTCCCAACCCTTTACCCTGAGGTAATGTCTACCTTTGAATCTTAGATGTGTTTCTTGTATGCAGCAGAAGGATGGATTCTGTCTTCATATCAATTCTGTTAGCCTGTGTCTTTTTATTGGTGCGTTAAGGACATTAATGTTGAGCGTGAGTAAGGACCATTGATTGTTGATGCTTGCTTGATTTAGGTTTGTTGTTGGCAGTGGTATTTTGAATATATTAGTTCTTCTTTACCCTTTGTTTCTGGTGTAGTTGGATTATCTGTTGTCTACATTTTTGTGGGCGTAGTTACCTTCCTTGGGTTGGAGTTTACCTTCCAATAATTTCTGTATGGCTGGATTTGTAGACAAGTTTTGGGAAAATCTCGTTTTGTCATTAAATATCTTGTTTTCTCCATCTATAGTGATTGAGAGTTTTGCTGGATATAGTAGCCAAGACTGGCATTCGTGTTATCTTAATATTAAAGAACATCTATCCAGGATCTTCTGGCCTTGAGGGTTTCCATGGAGAAGTCAGGTGTATTTTTGATAGGTCTGCCTTTATATGTTACCTGTCCTTTTTCCTTCACTGCGCTTAATATTCTTTATTCTTTATGCTAGGTGTTTTGATTATTATATGTGGAGGGGTCTTTTTTCTTTGGTCCAGCCTATTTGGGGTTCGGTATGCTTCTTTTCCTTTCATGGGCATGTCCTTCTTCAAATTTGGAAAGTTTTCCTCGATGATTTTGTTGAATATGCTTTCACCATCTTGAGCTGGGCTTCTTCACCTTACTCTATGCCTATTATTCTTAGGTTTGGTCTTTTCACGGTGTCCAACATTTCCTGTATGTTTTTTGTTAAGGATTTGTTGGATTTATGATTTTCATTGGTCGATGAATCTATTTCTTCTAGTTTATCTTCTGTACCTGAGATTCTCTGTTCCATCTCTCGAATTCTATTGGTTATGCTTGTGCCTGTAGTTCCTGATTTTTTGCCCAGTTTTTCTATTTCCAGCATTCCCTCAGTTTGTGTTGCCTTTATTTTCTCTATTTTAGTTTTCGGTCTTGAACCATTTCATTCACCTGCTTATTTTTTTTTTTTTTTTTTTTGGCTTTGGCTTTCAGTACTTTCTTTGCTTTCCTTAAGGAATTTGTTCATTTCTTCCACTTTTTGTTTGTTTTTTTTTCTCCATTTCCTTAAGGGATTTTTCTCACATCTTCTTTGAGGGCCTCTATCATTTTTATGACAGAAATTTTTAAGTCGTTCCCTTCTGCTTCCTCTGCTTTGTTGTTGTGTTCCATTCTAGTTGGTGTAGATTCCTTAGATTCTGGTGGTTTCATGCTTGTCTTTCTGTTGTTACGTGTTTTCTTGTATTGCCGTCTTCTCATAGCTTCTTCCAGTAGGTGTTGATGGGGTCTCCCCTCTCTCTCTATGATACTTCCCCAGTGGGATTTTGTGGTCAGTGAGTCAATATCTATATCTCTGGGTAGTCCAAGCTCTATAGGAAGTCTCTCCACAGACAGGGACCCAGGGATGGGGTCAGGGCTGAGGATAATGTAGAAGATGCCACTAGCCAATGGCTCTAGTCAATGGCTGGGGGAGGAGGACAGAGGCTGAGCTGAAACTTGGGAAGTTTCTGCATGATAGTCTGATCTCACTGGAAACTGGGACTCTCCAGCTGAGGCCTCTTTCTTTAGCAGAGGCCCTGCTTTAGGGGTCAAGGATCTTGCCGGCGGCAGGAACTCAGAGTGGACTCTCAGATATAGGTGGATTTCACAAAAAAAAAAAAAAAAAAAAAAAAAAAAAGAAAAAAAAAAAAAAGAAATATCAACAGCAGCAGAAAAATCAGTTGATGGTCTTCCAGTACTCCTTCAAAATATTTTACAACGTGTCTTTGTTTGTCTCAGTTGGACTCTCCAGCTAGTTACTTCCTTGTATAAATCAAGAATCTGTAGTTTAATTTTTTGTGGGTATAATCATGTGAGTTTTTTGGCCCTCAGAAACCAGAAAGTTTGTAGTCCCTGCAGCTGAGGTTACAGGGAGTTGAGAAATGCTAGCTATGGGTAGTGAGATTGAATTTGGGCCTTTGTCAAGATAATATCTGCTCTTAACAGCTGAGCCATCTCTCCAGCCAGAGATGTTAATTTTTTAATTGGTGTGTATTTGTATGTGCCCATGTATAGGAATGTGCATTTGAGTGCAGTGCCAAAGATGTCTATGATCTTTTCATAGATTTGTATGAATCTTTTTTATAGCTTTTGTATGTCTCGGTGATAGATGAAACACCACACAACATTTATCCCATTCCATATGTTATTGGCCACTGCATGCTTCCCACAGAGGCCAGAAGAGACCACTGGATGTCCTGGAGCTGGAGTTACAAGTTACTCATCTGATGTGGGTGCTGGGAAAAGAGCTTAGATGCTTTAGTAGAGTAACAAGTCCCAAATTGCTCAGCTATCTCTCCAGTCCAACTGTAAATTAGTAAAAAATATAAAGAATGTCAAAAGAAAGTATTTTAGGGACTGGGGAGATGGTTTAGTGGGTTAGTGCACTTGGTCTGCAAACATAAGGTCTTGAGTTTGATTTCTAAGCACCCACATAAGAAGAGCATGGCTGCCCATGCCTGAGAGCCCCCCACAGGGGACAGAGACAGTGGAGATTAGAGCCTGTTGAGCAGCCATGCTTTTGAGATAGTGGAGTTCTTATTCCATGAGAGGTCCTGTCTCCAGGCAGTAAGGTAGAGTATGATGGAAGAAGACACTTGCATCTTCTTGCCTCATGCTCTTGCAGCTGTATGTGTACCTGCATACCCATGTGTGTATGATACACACAAACACTGTATTTGATTTTGTTTTCTCTTCTTTCTTTTCCTTTTTCTCTTCATCCTTCCTTCATTCCTTCCTTCCCTCACTACCTCCCCTTCCTCCATCCCTCCCTACCATAATATCCATAATATTTATTTTTGCATACAGTGTTTCAAGAGGTAGTTTTTTCTTACCAGAACTCACTTTATTATATCAGGCTGGCTCCCATCTCACATAGATCTGCCTGCCTATTCCTTCTGAGTGGTGGGGTAAAAGATGTACCATGTTCAGCAAGTTAGTTTTTCAGGATTAATAGTCCCTAAATGTGGAGTTAGAAGATAAAACCAACTGTTTACATATCTCAATTGCAGAGAGATACTTAGGGTACAAAAGGATTTATTCATGGGGATTGATTTAAAAAATTATAATATTTAAAAATTTACTTGTGTATGTATGTGTCAGGTATGTGCATTCCATGATGTGGGTATGGAGTTCAGAAGACAAATTTTGGGAGGCAATTTTCCTACCATGTGGGTTCTGGGGATTAAACTCAGATTATCAGTCTAAGTGGCAGATGCTTTTACCTGCCGAGCCATCTCATTGGCTCAGGATTGAATTTCAGATGAGTTAAGTTCTAAATTGTAAAGCTATTATCATGAGTCATTACCTTCTCTTTTTGTTTTCTCTTTTTACTCAATATCCAGTCTCTGATGGAGAGCCTGCTAAGGATGAAAGACTGGAATTCTGTGCTTGGGGAAGATGTAACTGATGATGGTAATCTGGATGTAGAAGTGAACAATGACTTAGAGAATAACGTGCACTGACTTGTGGCGACTGATTCCTTGTTTCCTCTTCATTCCACATGTGTATCGAGCTCCTCATATACTTAGACTTGGCACATTTTGTCTATCTTCATGAAATACCACACTCCCTTTCCACCTTATTTAGCTAGTCTTTCGTGTAAATCTTTCTTTACCTCTTCAGAGTTGTAGACTTATTCTCTTTTGTTCTTCTCTATAGCCTATATTTCTCCATTATAACAACACAGCTCTTAAGTTCCATAACAAAAGGGGAACTATAGTAAGGTATAGTAATATAAAATATTTGTATTTTTCATTTTTATTTTATAATAGAAGAAACATAAATTCTATTTATGTTTAATAGTACTTAACTTGGAGCCATGGTTCATTAATAATTTTAGTGTTGAAGCCACGGTTGACTAATTAACCTGGATGCTGTAATGCCATAAGAATCTAAGCATAGTTAAGTCCATGGACACTGTTTAGGTAAATATTCAGTTCTTGTTGGGTCTCTGTAGTACACTGTCTATCTTCCTGAGTGTAGATCACTCTACCTTATATAAATTATTATTTTTATTTTAATTACTCTTTTTACTGAGACAACATCTTGCTGTAGGTCAAGCTGGCCTGGAATTCACTTTGGAGTCCAGGCTGGCCTTATACTCATGGGAATCCCCTTGTCTTAGCTGTGAAATGTTGGAATTAGAGTCAAGAGCAAGTAAGCTCAGCCTCAAATTATTTAATTTTGGCCAGAAGAGGGGTTGCAAGACTAGATAAAGAAGTAATGTATTCATTTGGATGTGTTCACTAAGTATGGTTTTATTTTTCACTGTAGGTAATCAGCCTAAGGGAGCTTTGAGGAAGCTAATATATGCTACTGAGGTTTGTATTAGTATGTAAAAATCTAGATGAGAAGGAGCAGGACCTACAGCAGACATGAAATCTGTGTGTCCTTAGTAACTAATTTAAAGATTGCTTTAATTTTTTGTATAAGGTTATATGATAAATGATTAGAATGTTCTTTTTCTTTTGATGTATTAATTTTCTGTGCATTGGTGGTTTGGCAGTATGCTTGTTTTTATGAGGGTTTGAGATTCCCTGGAACTGGAGCTACAGACAGTCGTCAGCTGCCATGTGCGTGTAGAGACTTAAATTCAGGTCCACTGGAAGAGCAGCCAGTGTACTATCTCTCCAGCCCCTAGGATTTCCTTATCAATTTCTTTTTTTATATCAACTTTAGAAATTTTTATAATTATAGTATTTAGAAATGTTCAAATTGTACACTCATTTCTTCCATTAAAGATATCTTCAGAATATTATTGTTTTATTTAATCATTCCCCATGTGCATTCTTTTCTTCTGGTTCCAATGGTTCTATATACTCTTTTGAGAAATAAATAATAGCTGTGTTTTCTTCTGGTTTATTCCCTCTGTCAGTTCTTAGTTAATCTGTGTAAAAAGTCCTGATTGTATAGGGTGAAGGCTGCTTTGGCAGCTGCACTGATGTCTTTATGTTGTCCATGATAACATCATCACGGGGAAAATAACTGCAGAACAGTAGTATGGGGTATATTGGGGATGTGTGTTTCTTTTGTGTAATTGATAATTGCTTTTCTTCTTCTTTTCCTTCTTTGAAGTTAAGTGCTTCGTTAAAAACCCTAGAAGGAGACAGAAACCAAATTTATACTCAGTTATCTGAAATAGATGCAACAAATGATGATCTTACAGGTAAGGGTTCTTGACGAGCATGTCTCCTTAAAGAGAATGAATTACTTCTGAGTTTTACTTTCAGTGGTAAACGTAGTCCATTTTCTCTTATATTTATGTAAATTATTAAAAGTATGTAAGAATGTGGAGTATGGTGCATCTTTGTTAGGGTTTCTATTGCTATGTAGAGACACCTTGACCATGGCAACCCTTATAAGGAAGACGTTCATTGGATCTGGCTTATAGTTCAGAGTTCTAGGGCCTGCAAATTATAAGTATACCATAAAGTAGTATTCCATAGTAATTGCACTGCAGAAGATCACACAGGCAGACATGGTGCTGGGGAAAGATCCAGGAGTTCTATATCTAGATCTGCAGGCAGCAGGAAGAATGCCACTGGGTCAGTCTTGAGCATCTGAAACCTCAAAGCTCACCCTCAGTGACAACTTCCTCCAACAAAGCAATACTTCCTAATAGTGTCACATCCTCTGAGCCTAGGGTGACATTTTCACTCAAGCCACCACAAGGAGTACAATGTTGGATATAGTTTTAGATGTTAAAAAGTTTTAAATTTAATTTTTTCCTTACATTTTTTAAAATTGAGAAAGTGATCTTCAGGACTTGAGCTTGTAATGTCTACTATTTTAATATATTCATATAATTTATTAGCATACACAAGAGTGGCTTTACACCTGTAAAAATAAATTTTTTTATGGAAAGCATTAAAAAAGTTTGCTGATTTTGTTCACATTGAAAAATAGATTTTGCCAGTTGTGTTTGTGCTGTAAAAAGTATATCACATCTCACTGTGTTAATGAAATAAATTCATATTTTTATATCTGAAAAGAATGGATGGACATATTCAAATGTCTGTGCTGGTTAACTCAGAATGGAACCACAGGCATCTTTTTTTTTTTTTTTTATTTCTCCTCATCTATATTTTCTTTTCAAAACAGGCTTTATTGATCCTGTTACACTTGCTTAAATGATGCAACATAAGACAAAAACTTCTGCTTGTAGAGCTTCATTTTTACCTGCCTGATGCTTTTCCTGCCTGTTTCTAACTCTACACCTATGATCACAGGCAAAGCCCCTTCACTGATTACACAGCTGAATATAAACATACCAGAAATCAACATCAACAAAATAATCCTCTCAATGAATACAAGAAACGTCAATATGTAGTCAACCATTGCCACGGCTGCCCAGAACTTCACATTTCTTCCTTTTCATTCTTAACTTATTCTATCTTCCAAACGATAGCCAGATCCATTTGAATCTTGACCTATGCTCTATACCAGACTTCATCGTTGTGAGGCCAGCTTCAGGGTACTTTATCTTCTTTATAACCTTCAAGACCAGGGTTGAGATCTGATGAGAAAAAGACCAAAAGGGTCTCAAAGGCCTTTAAGACTTTTAATGAGCAAAATGCTTAAAAAACATTGAACCATTGGATTAAATTGCCCTACTCACTGGTTATACTAATTGTATTGTTATTAGACCTGAAAAAACATTAGTCTAATTAAAAAAATGCTGCTATCTGAGAATAGTAGTAACAGTGTGGAAGATACAGAGAGGAATAGGCACTCTGTTTTCAAGGCAGCTTTATCGAGGCATACATTAACGTACATGTATCTTAGTAGGAAGTACCAGTGTAGCAAGCAATTAGTTCACCAGTTATTCCATTGTTTACTCCTTCTCTTGGCCAGTCTTAATCCCCCCCACCAAATAATATGGGAAACTCTTGTGTGTGTAGAGCGTTCCTCCAAATCCACCTTTTCTTTTTCCATGGTGTTTTAAAAAATTATTTAATGTTTTTTATTTATTTACTTTATTGGGAGTTTGCTCACATATATGTCTGTGTGAGAGTGTCAGATCCTCTGGAACTGGAGTTACAGACAGTTTTGAGCTGCCCTGTGGGTGATCGGAATTGAGCCAAGGTTCTCTGGAAGAGCATTCATTGCTCTTAACTGCTGAGCCATGTCTCCAGCTCCAACATTCTTTCCTTAATGCGTCATAAAATTTTTCAATAATTAATTTTTAACATATGGGAGCATTTTTCTCTAACCATCTCTCATCTCCCATAGATTCTGGCCTTTTTGGTAATTTATAGTGTCCTTCCTTTAAATGCATGTTTCTATGTAACCCCAGGCTTCTTGAAGTCCTCACATTTCTACCTCAGCTTCTCACATGTCTGCTTTATATAGGCTTAAAATTACTGCACCTGGCCTGTACAGTGCCCTATTATAGTGTCTGGGTTCAGTGCATAAAAGCCCCTTCTTCTGAGCCTGATGGTCTGAATTCAGTCTCCAGTGGAAGGAGAGAACAGACCCCTGCTAGTTGTCCTCTGACCTTTGCCCACCTGGGCATGCAGGCTGAGGTGAACACACACACACACACACACACACACACACACACACACACACACACAGACACACACACACACACACACGTTTTTTTAATTGAGCTATACTTTTTCCCAGTCCCCTTCCCTCTGAGCCCCTGCCCTCCACGTCTCCCAAACACTTAGTTTTAAAAGTTTTAAAATGAGATAAAGTAAGACACTAGAAAAAAGAGCTTGAGTGTATAATGGTAAAATAATTTGTGTTGTTTTTTAAGGCTTCTTTGCATTAGTATCTTTATAAAGTAGGTGGGTTTTGAAGTCACAGTGATCTGACCAACTTTGTGTATCGTTAATATTTTTAATATGTTTTTAATTGTATGAAATTCCTTTAATTTCTTTATTAAGAACTGAAGAATTTCTTTAATTCCTTTAGTTTCTTTATGATTTTGTACCTTTGTCTAGAGCATATGCGAAGTCTCAAGTCTGAACAAGTGTCTTTGCAGTCAGGTAATACACAACTTGAAATCGAGAAACAGAAGCTTCAAAGGAAAATCACAGTGATGAGGGAGCTGTACCAAGACAATGAAAGGATGCTTCACAGGTGAGAGGTGTTTGGTAACTCCAGTGAATGGCAAGTGAAATGTCTTTAAATGCATGTTATGTATTAGAGGCTTTACACATTGATTATTGGATGTTATCAATTACATAGAATCATTCATGTTGTTTCTTTTTTTTTTTTTTAATTTGGTGTTTTTTTGTGTTTTCAAGACAGGATTTGTCTGTGTAGCTTTGCAGCCTATCCTGGAACTCACTCTGTAGACCAGGCTGGCCTTGAACTAAGAGAGATCCACCTGCCTTTGCTTCCTGACTGCTAGTTTTAAAGGAGTGCCCTACATCACCTGGCTACATCATTCATTTTTAAGAATGTTATTTTGTCTTGGACGATTTTCTTCATGAACAAAATGTAAATATGTTGGAATTCCCAAGCTACCTTTCTCAGTATCTGGTAACATTTATCAGATCATTGCCTTAAACTCATGCTGACATACAGGGTCCAGGAATCTGAGCGGTGTCTTTGGATGGAACTTCCTATTGTATATAAAACTGACTCCTTTCTTCTGCGCAAGTTAGTCTTGCTTAATATTCTTTGATGTAGTTACTAAATGGCAGTATCATTGTATTTGTGAACAGGGCAGCTGCTAGTCATCCTTCAGTGCCCCTTTTGTGTCCCATATTTGTTTGTCTTATCATCAAATTCTGTCAAATTTCTTAACCTTTAATCTGATGGCTTTTTATCATCTACCAATACTCTGGTTAAAGCCATCATTAGCAGTAGTTGGTTCATTACAGTAGCCCTATGAATGTCTTTATATCTTCCTACACTGTCTTTTCTCTGTAAACTCAGAATAACTCCTAAAACATAAATTGTGCATACTGTCACAGTCTTTCCTGCACCCCCCCCTCAAATGTTTTAAACAGACTTAAAACAAGATTCTCAGAAACAAGTTTACCATACCCACCTTGTGAGAAGCTATAGACTATTCTATGTCTCTTTTCTTTGTTGCTATCTATTGCCATTGGCTTTCTTCATTTTTGGTGTGCCCAGCACATCTGTATGGTAAGGTCTTTCATCTTTCAAGCTTTTTCTTTCCTTCTTTTTATTTTTTTCACTATGTGGTGTTCTATGTGCTTGCATTTTTGAATCTATGTTTCATTCAGATGTGGGGTCCCGCTGTCATCTTAAAGAAGGCTTTCTCGGTACCCTAACTAAACCAATATCTCTTATTTTGTTCCGTTATTTCTCGTCACATCTTGTTTTGTTCTCTAAACGTCCTCCGCTTCACATTAATTTAAACTCTGTAAGAAGTATGGTACTTTTATTTATATTCCCAGTGCCTAAACTGAAAGGAAAATAGTGGGTTTCCAATCAATATTTGTGCTCAATCAATTCTTCAATATCCTTGAAAGGATAATAATCAACTTTATACAGAAAAAGAAATAAAATCAGGATAGCTAAAACAATCCTGTACAATAAAGAAACTCCAGGAGGCATCACCATCCTCAACTTTAAGCTCTACAACAGACCTATAGTCCTGAAAACAGCCTGGTATTGGCACAAAAACAGACAAGGTCACCAATGAAATTAAATCAAATATTCTGCCATTAACCCACACAGCTACGGACACCTGATTTAGGACAAAACAGCTGAAAGTATATACCGTGAGGAGGAAAACATCTTCAACAAATGGTGCTGGCACAACTGGATGATGGTGGGTAAAAGACTGCAGATAGACCCATGTCTATCGCCATCCACAAAACTCAAGTCCAAGTGGATCAAAGACCTCATCATATGTCCTTCCACACTGAAACTCGTAGAACCTCCTAGAAGAGAAAGTGGGAAGTACCCTTGAACAAACTGGTACAGAAGACTGCTTCCTGAACATAACTCTAGTAGCACAGACACTGAGATGTACAATTAATAAATGGGACCTCCCCAACTGAGAAGCTTCTATAAGGCAAAGGACACACTTGACAAGACCAAACGGCAGCCCACAGAATGGGAAAATATCTTCACCGATCCTACATCTGACAGAGGGCTGATCTCCAAAATATACAAAGAACTCAAGAAACTAGTCAACAAAATACCAAATAACCCTATTAAAAATGGGGTCCAGACCTTAATAGAGAACTCTCAATAGAGGAAATTTAAAAGGCTGAAGGGCACTAAAGAATGTACTCACAGTCCTTAGCTATCAGGGAAATGCAAATAAAGGAACTTCGAGATGCCATCTTACTGCTGCCAGATTGGCTAAAATTAGAAACACCAAGAACAACTTATGCTGGACAGGATGTGGAGAAAGGGGAACACTCCTCCACTGTTGGTGAGAGTGCAAAGTTGTACAGTTATTTTGGAGATCATTAAGGCGGTTCCTCAGGAAAATGGGAATCAGTCTACCACAGGCCCCGGCAATCGCCATCTTAGGCATATACCCAACTGATCCACATCCATGCAACACAGATTTCTGTTCTACTATGTTCATGGAAGCATGGTTTGTAATCACAAGAATCTGGAAGCAACCAACATGCCCTTCAACTGAAGAATGGATAAAGAAGATATAGCACATTTACACAATGGAATACTACTCTGCCGGAAAAGAAAAGAATAGAATCTTGAAATTTGCAGTAAAGTGAATGGACCTTCAAGAAACTATCCTGAATGAGGTAACCCAGTCACAAAAAGAATAAAATTGTATGTACTCAATCATATATGTATTTTAGACTGAGCAAAGGATCACCAGCCTATAATTAACACTGCCAAAGAAATTAAGATGCAAAGAGGATTCTAAGAGATTCATATAAGTTCCCTCACAGAAGGGGAAAGGGACAAGATCTCCTGAGCATATGGGGAGTGGTGGGGCAGTGAGTGGAGAGGGAGCTAGGAGGAAGAGAAGGGGAGGAGAGGAAAGCATGTGGGCCTAGGAAGATTGAGTCAGGGGAGGAATAGATGAGAAGAGAGAGGGAACATAATAGAGGGAGCAATTATATGTTTGAAGAGAAAAATGAACCTAGAGAAATATCCAGAGACCTTCAAGTCTCACTGCAAGTAACAATTTGAGCAACAGTGGAAGGGCTACCATAAATGCCCTTCCCTGATAATGAGATTGAGGACTGTCTTATCCACCATCATAGAGCTATCATCTAGCAGCAGATGGAAACAGAAGCAGACACCCACAAGTAACCACTGAGCAAAACAGGAATTCAGAAGCAGAGAGAGAGGACAAGACCAGGCTACAAATATACATTGAGACAGCCAACCTGAAAAAAGGAGGAGCTACTAGGCCCCCAGACTGATAGCTGGGATTCCAGCATTGGACTGACTCAGACTCCCTAAACATGGGTCTCTGCCGGAAGGCCTGGGAAGTCTAAGGGACCTTGACAGTGGAAACAGGATATGTACCTGGTGCACAAAAGGACTTTGGGTGCACATCCCCCATGGAGGGATACTCCCTTAACCTAGAGACAGGAGAGAAGGCCTAGTCCCTACTCCAAATGATGTGTCAGATTTAGATGACCCCTCCTGGAAGACATCACCCTACATGTGGAGTGGGGGTGGGAGAGGAGTGTGGTCGGGGGGCATGGGGGTATGAACAGAGGGAAACAGGGAGGGAGGAAGGGGGAACTGGGATTAATATGTAAAATGAAAATAAATAAATAAAATTGTACTCAGTGTATTTAAATATTGATGGCAATATGAGACATTGCCCTGACATGTCCAGATAAGGCAGAGAAAAGACCCTTGTGATACCAATCTTGCAATTGCAGATTTCCTAATAAGAATTATAGTTTAGAGTTTTCATTATAAAACCAAGCACACTTTGACTTTTATTGCCCTTTGGAAGTCCCTTGTCTGTCCTATTCCTTCATACATTAAGTGTGCATGTATTTATGTATGTGTGTGTGCGATGTAAATTCCATTGTTAAATTTGTTTGTAACCTTAAAGCCTGTTTTTTTTTCCCCAGAGATTTGCTGGCCTTTGATTTGTAAACTGAGAATGATGAAGATTCTGAGAGGCCCAGTGTGAGAACTCCTGGTTGAGGGCTAACACAGCAATTTCTTTCAGTTCTCATTCTGTAAACAATTGTCTTCTCTGACTACCTCTTCTTTTTAGAATTGTTTATTTGGTGAGGTACCTGTTCACATAGAACCCAAGCATGTGCTTGAGTGCTGTCACGTGTTCTTGATGGTGAGAAGGCCATAATATACTTTGTGAAAAAAATGCCATGTATAAGATTAACTTTGTTTTGTCTTAACTTACAGTGCTGTTGGTTGGGAATTTACTTTAGGAAATACACAACTTATGTTAACCAAGATGTGTTTTATTTTGTTCGAGACTGTTTCATGTAGTCCATGCTGGCTTGACCCTGATTACAGTCAGCTGTGACTTTTAACTCCTGATCTTTCTGCTGTCACTTCCCAAGTGCTTGGAACAGATGTTTTCCACCATTGTAGATTTTATCTAGTTTTAAAAAATGATTTATTATGCTGGGCATGGATGGTGTACACGTTTAATCCCAGCACTCAGGAGGCAGAGGCTACTGAATCTTTGTGAGTCTGGTCTACAAAGCTACATAGAGAAACCCCATCTTATCAACCAAAGCAAAATAAAGAAACAAAACTGTGATTTGCTCTTTTAAATTATGTATGATGTGTGTGAACCTGTAAAAATAAGTGCTGGTGCATGTAGAAGTCAGAAATGTTGGCCCTCCCTGGAATTGTAGATAACATGCTGTTATGAGTCACTGGATATGGGTCTTGGGAACTGAGCTCAGGTCCTCTGCAAGAGCAGGATGTACTCTTCTTAATGGCTGAACTATTGCTCCTGCCCATGGATATTTATTTTCATTTTATGTGTATGTGAGAGTTCCTGTATGTATGTCTATGCACAATGCCTGTGCCTGGTGCTCTCTAAGGCCCGAAGAAGGCATTGGATCTCTTGAAACTGAGTTACAAATGCTTGTGAGCTGCCATGTGGTTACTGATTACTGAACTTGTGTCCTCTGCCAGAGCAGTTTGTGCACTCTTAGGTGTGAGCCATCTCT